TTGAGAGAAAAGGACTGGAGAAAGCACCATGTCCAGAGTTCTACCCTGCCCAACCTCAGCAGCAGAGCTGGAAGATACACAGAGAACTGGCCAAGACTCCTGTCGGGAGGAGGTGGAGGTACATGACGGACTCCCCCAGGGCTCTGCTGCGCTCTGACCCAGGCTACCTGGAGACAGCCCGCAGGGGTGTGTGCATGAAGAAGACGAGCATCAACCTTAACCCCAAGCCCAGAGGCACCAGGCCCGGCCTCTAGCTCAGCCTGCTATTGACACAAAAGTGTTCAGAGCACCCAGGCTTCTGAGATCCGAGGTCTCTGAGGGCTACCACCACCGCTGGGGCGCCCACCTTCCATGCCGGGCCAGGACAGGATGCTGAGACTATTTCTGCCCAGACTTTAGCTTCAGGCTTGTGTTTGGGGTGACATAAGGAATTATGGAAGGAAGGGATGATTCCAGGGAGTTCATACAGTATCCCAGAAGGACAACAGGATTAAAAGAACGTGGAGTTTGGAATGAGAATAATTTCAGATTAAATTCTGGCTTTTCCTCACCCCAGCTGTGTAACTTTGGGTAAGTCCAAAAGAAATGTCTCCAAAGATGTCTCCATTTTCTCATCCAAAAACACAGGATTGATCAGAACACTGACTTTACGTGTTGTGAAGCTTAATACAGAGAAAGTGCAAAGACCCTAGCCGGTTGTCACGTCTGTGTGAAAAGTCCCTTCCTTTGTCACCCTGCATTCTACACGTATCTGTCCTTCATTGCCCATGTGCCTTGGAAGGGTCCCAGAGCCTTCTGCCATCAGTTTCTCAGCCTGCGGAGTGAAAAGTGACAGCTGGGCCCTGTCTATTACATACCTTCTGTGAGATCAAGGGTGATAACCTAAGTGGGAATGAGGGAGGAGAACAAGACTGCGAAGCACCAGACAGCTAACTGGGCTGGCGGTGTCAAAGGTCAGCACACTCAGGGCAGGTGCAGAACATGGACCCTGAGGGATTCCTGGGAGATCTCCACAGACCAACCAGCAAGTGATATTTCCAACCCCTCATTTGCAACTGGTGCTGTTCGCAGGATGGGGCAGAAAGTGCTATTTCCAGTTGTTCATTTACGTCTGATGGAAGCCAATGGAATCTTTTGGTGGGGCAGTTTGAGTCTGGTGCCAGGCCAAGGGAGTTTTTGATAGACAAATCCCTTATTTGCATGAAGAGGAGAGATCCAATATGGCTGAGCAGTGGAGGAGCTACTGTAAGGTTACTCTGAGAAAGTTGACTAAAAACAACTAATTTGAAGAAAGGAAGAGGCGTCTATCCTGACGCCAAAATCAATATGCAATCAGAGACTTGTAAATCAAACAAAACACAAAGGTCTTTATAAAATGTCGTAGCAGCCCACAGGGTGCCAGTGTACTGCTGCCTTTCTGCTGAGCAAGAATTGCCATGCTGGGAAGTGCCCAAGAAACTGAAGGACAGCAGAACTGTGGCTAACTCAGGCCACACGGGATAGCCCTGGGACATCCAGCCCATCACCAGCTTCTGCGTTACTCCACGCAGAGGGCACTGCAGCCTGGCAGCAAATTTCATCAGCATATAGGGGTGAGTGCCCAGGGAACGGCACTGTTTCCAAGGATGGGCTGCACCAGGAGGAAGCTGACCAAGAAATTGTTGGTAGAAAAGATCCGTTTTTCTTCTCCTCAGGGCCACTGCTTACCAGTGGCCCTGCAGAGTGTACCTCTTACCCACCTTCAGTAAATGCACCCCATCACTACCTTTCCCACATGTCTTGTCCAGTTCTTTGCTTAGGACCCAAAGGACCTGGAAAAAAGCCCCGCAGGACCCTCCATCCAGGAACAGGAAGAGTCTCAGCAACCAGCGGCAGGACCCCAATTCTACTATTGATCTGGTTTCTGCATCTGCAAGCTAATCTGTGGCTGGACAACATTTTTAAACACTTGACAGATTTTCAAGAAGTAGGACTTAGAATTACTGCATGCACAGCACTGTCTGTGCTCAGTGCCCACCAACACAGGACCTCGTGGGCCCTCCTTCCTCTAGCTCCTGCCGGGCCCAGACCCTGCTTTTCCCCTGTACCCCCTGTTTCACCAGTGTTTGCCTCCTGCAGTTGGTGTCCTGTGCGGCGAGGGCTACGCTGGTAGCATCTGTACTGAGCATGTATAGGTTTTTTCTTGTCACTATTTCCTAAATACAAAGTACGACAAGCACTTCCATAGCACTTGCATTGTATTAGGAGCTATAAGTCACCTAGACATGATTTAAGGTAGGAGGGAGAGGTGAGCAGGTTACATGTAAATACCATGCTACTTTATACCTGGCACTGGGGTGTCCATGAGCAAACCCAAAGGGTGCTGAGATTGGTTCCCCAGGACACCGAGGGCTGGGGCTGTGCCTGTCACATGCTGAGCACCGACCACGGAGCCCAGGGCTCGCCAGACATGTGGCGAGATTAATCGAGCCATACCAAGGGCCTAGACACATTCTGGCTCAGGATGACCCCTCACCATTTGCTTTGTCAGTACCTCTATCCCTGAATGAAGGCCATGGCGAGGACACAAGGAGCCTGCTGAAAGACAAAAGCTCATGGCCAGGGATGCCCAGGCCTCTGCTCCCAATGGGGAACAACTTTCTTCTGTGCCCTTCTTGTTGCTCCTTCCAGAGTGTTTCTGAGAGGAGCAGCCTGAGCCTGCAGTCCAGGTCCTGACCGCAGCCCACTGAGGCCCCTTGCAAGCACTGTGCTGTTCTTCAGGCAGAGGAGCAGCAGGAATGGTCCCCACACAGACCCTGTCTACCAGGGTTAGACCCTGTCTACCATGCTAGACCCTGTCTAACATCTCCCTGTCCGCTGTGCACAGCCCTCTGCCCACCTTCTCCTCTCCCACTGCTATAATCTTCTAAAGGTGAACCTGATCAGTCACTGCTCTGCTTCAGATACTTTGAAGGCTCCTCCTTCCAATGTTGTTGAAGTCAGCTCTGTGGCACAGCTTGTGAGAGCTTTCCACTCCGGCCTGCCTTGAGCATTTCTTGCCCTGCCCACCCCACTTGGGGCCACACTGCTCTGACCAAGAGCTCTCAAAGTCCCATATTGGGGGCTGGGGAGATAGCTCAGTAGAATAAGCGCCTGCCTGGTAAGCACAAGGTCCTGAGTTCAATTCCCGGTGCCACAAAAAAAAAAAAAAAAAAAAAAAAAAAAAAAAAAAAAGATGAGAGATGGGCATATTGAGAGTCCATTATATGACTCATTATTGGGGTCCAGGGAGGTGGTTCAGTGGAATAAGTGCTTGTCTGGCAAGCTCAGGGGCCTGAGTTCAATCTCTGGTTCTGCCAAAAAAGAAAGACAAAACAAAACAAAACAAAACAAAAAGTCCCACACTGCCTCAGGACTCCAGGCTTTCTGGGCGGCGCCTCTCGGTTCAGACACCCTTGCCCACCACCCTCACATCATCGCGTTGGTAAATAAGCCTGCACTCTGCCTCACTCCAGGCCTAAGCCACAGCTTGCTGAAGTTAGATCAGGAAATGCGACGCAGGGACTCGGTCTTTGGAGCGTACGTTAAGGCAGACAGAACTGGCTGAGAAGGATAACGCATAACAGCAGCGCGCACGTACTTTGGCTCCTACTCGCGTGCGTAGGTGCATGTGCAGTGCGGGCAGGCCGGGAAGTGAGCGGTGAGTCCATCCAGTCATCCAGCATGCACGGCACCGTGGACTCGGAACTACTGCTTCACTCAGCTCATGCTTGCTTCTGCAATCAGGGGCCGCTTCTTCCAGGAAGCCTGTCTGGACCTGACACTCAGGGTGGAGTGTCCCGCCCTGCACAAGCCACAGAGCTGGCCAAGCACTCAACAGGAGCAGGGACTAGAACCAGCTGTCCTAGGTTCATGGCTGTGACGCTCAGTTACTGCAGAGTGTGTCCCTGAGTCAGCAAAAGCTGATGGCCAACGCCTGGGATCCGAGGGGCAGTCCTGAGTGATGGGGGAGGGGCAGGAGCGAGGCCCCCAGGCTGGGCGGCCTCCACCCTCCTTTATGCAAATGAGGCGGCTGAATCGGAAACGTGCAACTCGCTTGGGCATTTGTTTATAAATGACGAAGGCGGTCAGGAGCCTTTTGAACCTCCTCATTCATCGGCCCCTTTCACTTTCCTGTCATTTCCCAGTTATTTAGAGCCACCCGGCCAGATAGCCCTTAACCAAGCAATATACATGTTAATGTGGAGAGCAGGGGCTGAGATTGAAGTGACAGCGAAAACGCATTATTCAAAGAGGAAGACCAGGAAGGGAAGCGGGGAGGAAAGGGGAGGCTCTGGGCGTTGGCTGCTTTCACAGTCACAGGCAGCCCTATCTGCCTGGGCTGGTGCCACTGCCCGCTCGGCATGGCCCCTCCCTAGGAACGTTGTCCCCAATCTAAAAGCGCCCTTCGTTTATATTTAGCCATTTCCAGAAGGCCCCTGGCAATCTAAGTTTAATTAGAATTGTACCCAAGGAGGCCAGAGCTATTGATGGAATGATTTCTTTTCTTCTTTTTTCACTATTGGCACTGCGTAGGGGGCAGCCCGAAAATGCTTTCCGACAAATGGAACATTTAGCATTTAATTATGTTTCTTGGCTATCCGGTTCCGGTTAAAAAATGAAGGGGAGGAAGAATGTGGAAAGTTGTTGGTTCCTGACTCCCCCATCCTAAAACCGTAGGAGCTCCATACCTTCTCCTCTGGGAGGAGCCACGTTTTCTCCTCCTGGAAAAGGGGTCCACTGGTGCGGATTCCCAGTGAGGAGCAGGGAGGCTAAGAGGAGCCCTTGCTGTGCAATGAGGTCCCAACAGAGTCTGCACAGAGGCCTGGTCCTAGATTGGGGGGCCAGGCGAGGAGGAGAGGCTGTGTCCCAGCTCCTGCTTCTGACCTTCTCTGTGAGCAGCCTGTATCCAACAGGCCTTTGCTCTGACTTTCAGGGAAGATGTTTAGAAAGTCAGAGCAGCCACAGTTTATGGCTAAGTTATGGTCAATAGCAAGAACCACATCACACACAAAAAGTCTCGAAAATGGCACAGGAATGGCATTAAGAAACCTTGGTCACAAAGATACAAATCTCTGAAGGGGGCAGAACTGAAGTTCCTCAGGAACATGAGTTTTGTCAAGAAGCACAACAAGAAGGGGTTTAAGAAGATGCAAGCAAACAATGCCAAGGCCGTGAGTGCATGCGCCGAGGCTATCAAGGCCCTCATCAAGCCCAAGGAGGTCAAGCCCATGATCACCCCAAAGGGAGTAAACTGCAGGCTCGCTCGACTTGCCTATATTGTCCACTCCAAGCTTGGGAAGCATATTTGTGCCTGCAGTGTCAAGGGTCGCAGGCCTTGCTGGCCAAAGGCCCAGGCTCCAGCCAAGGCCCAGGCTCCAGCCAAGGCTGAGGCTCCAGCTTCTGTTCCAGCCCATGTTCCCAAAGGTGCCCAGACCCCCAAAGGTGCCCAGGCCCCCATGAAGACTCTACAGTAAAAGCCTCTTATCTGCTGATGTAAAAACAGAAGGACTGGGGTGACCTCTGGGGTGCCATCTGTGGGGGGCTGGTGTCCTCTTGTGCTTTTTGTACAAATAAACCGGAGGCAGGGAAAAAAAAAAGGAACAGAGTGACTGGAGGAAGGATTTTGGATGCGAAGGACACATGGGGCTCCTCGGGGGGCTACTCCAGGACCATCAGCAGGGATGCAGGCCTCAGGTCTGCAACACATGGCTGCAGCTTTGGAAGGACCTGATGCAGGGGACTGAAGAGACCTTTAGAGTCTGTCCAGGATCTACCAGGTGTGTGGGGTGGGAACAAGGCACTAGAGTCCCCCAAAGCGTGGTGGGGGCTTGCTGAGGCAGACACGCCCTCAAGGGGCAGATCCTCGTGCCGCTGTGCATGTGCAGGGCTCACCTACACTGTCCTGCTAAGGACTCACCTATCTTCCCAAGGCCGAGCGTGTTAGTCACAGCAAGCTGGGTACTCCGCACATACTCATTCCGAATGAGTCATCCCAGGTCCAGCTATCCTTTTGTGACAACGCCCCCATCTAGCTCAGCGACTGCACCCCACCAGAGGCCAGTCCTCTCCTTTGCCTCTGGACCTGGGTGATCCTCCAGGCTATCTCCTCTCCAGGTATCTGCACTGTATTCCATACCATGGTCGTTTCACTTCCGTGTAAACAGGTGATCAGTGCAGACTCTCAGCCAAATGCCAGCCACCAGCAAATATTGTGGCATTCACAGCCCAGGGGTATTGTTCCTGCACAAATTGCCAGGGGAGAACCAGGAATCGGCGACCATTAGGCACACGCCCCTCCCCCATTTCCTTTCCTGGCGTCAAGTCCTCTGTACATGAGGCAGGTGAGCAAGGTGACCTCCTGCTCAGATATTCTGTGTAAAGCTGGCTTCCTTTCACCCCTTGCTGCCTTGGACCCTACTTTATGGGTGGAATTGAGGGCATCTCTGAGGACCTGCCCAGCAGAGCTGCCATGCACGTGTGTGGGACAGTGGGCCCTGAGGAAGGACGTGTCTAAGCTTGGAGGTCTCTAATGGGGGGGGGTCTCCAATTTTAGCCCCAAATTGTTTTCTTTGATCATCTGCTACTTTGACTCCAGTCTACAACAGTAACTTACTGTTCCTTAGACATGACTTTGGGCTTCAGAATCTCCTCCTACTTCTCTGCTTGTCCCTCCGTTCTTGGGCAGAACACGGGCAGTTGGTCAGTGTTTGGTTTCTCAAACATGCCAAGCTTGCTCCTGCCACGGGGCCTTTGCCCTGCTGCCGCCTGTAGCACACCCCCCTTCAACCCAGCCTTAGCTCAGCACGCGCTCCTCAGCTCAAAGTTCCTTGCCTTAGAACAGCCCCATTACTACCTTATCCATAAGCACGCCTCTGCCCACCACCACGGTTCATCTTCTGCTCCTGTTGCTATTAGAAATCGTTTTGCATTTTTACTTGAGTATGTTTATTGCTTGTGCTTCCTAATTAGCATTTAAGCTCTCTGAGGGCAGAGACTGTATCTTTCTTCTTCGCTCCTGTGTGCTCTGCACTTAGGACAGTAGCTGGCACAGATTACTTGCTCAGTACAACTTGTTGTTACACTAATACTAGCGCTTGCTCTCACGCCATGCTTGGACTGGGCCTCTTCTCCCACCCGATTCCTACTCCAGCACTGCCGCAGCTGATGTGCTCTTCAACATCTTCAAGGGCGCCTCTCTCAAGAGACTTTTCACTAAGTTTTGTTTCTGTTTGTCTTTTCATAAGAAGGTGTCATTCTCAAAAATTATAACACACTTTAGGCTCATTGTGTTTCTAACCTCACAAGGCAGGGATTAAGTCCTTGGGGGGGGCGAAGGCCTGGGAAGACCCCATAGCTCCTGAGTGATCCCTCTGGGAGCCATGCGTCTTGCCTAAGTCCAGCACTGTTTCACCATGTGACAAGGGCCTTGAATTCCCCACTGCAGAGGTCACACAGATGAGCTGAACTGCAGCCCCTGCCCCAGGATGGCAAATTCTGCATGCACCTATTTCTGGCTGTCCTGATATGTCTGAGAGTTGGGGAGGAGGTGTGTTTGGGTCTTTGGGGAACCCCAAGGGGGCTGCATCTGGGGATCAGGGCCAGAGGGAAGGAGACTGTGGTGACTTCCAGGAGAAGTTCATTTGGGAGAATAAGAAAAGCCAGCAAGGACCAAGGCTGTCCCAGGAGGCAGAGCAGAGAGGATGTTGCCTGGGCCCAGACTTGCTGATGGCTTATACGGTTTGGATATATTTTGTCTTCACCAAAACTCATGCTGATGTTTGGTTCCCAGTGGAATGGTGTTGAGACACTGAGTGCTGCACACTCAAGAAGGGATCTGACATGGCTCCCATGAGAATGGGCGAGGCATCACGAGAGCAGTTGCTATAGAGCAAGCCCACCCTGCTTCCCCTCCCACTGGTCTACCATGCATGCATCAGCATGAGCCTTGCACCAGAAGCAGAGTGGGTTCCAGGGCTGTGTTCCTGAACTTCCAGAACCACAGTCCAAATGCATTTCTTTTCGCTTATCCAGTCTTGAGTATGCTGCTACAGCAACTGAAAGCAAATACAACACAGTAGACATTGAAGTCATGATGTCTCTCGCTGGACTGCAGTCCGTGAGGAAGAGTGAAGTCAGAGGCTACGAAGAGGAGCGACCTCCCCTTCTTTGGAGACTGAGGAACACGAAAAGAAGCCAGACTGGAAGGAAGGATGAGGAGAGCCCAGAAAGGCCTGATGGAGAGCATGCAGGTGGAAAACTTGGAATCACGAAAGTCAGAGGCCAATGGATGGCTAGCAGGAGGCCTGAAGTCTGCCGGGGAGGTTCTGTCTTCTCTTCTACCACATTGCTGTCTCTCTAGCATCAAAGGCCTTTGGAATAGACCTCAGATCTAATACTGTCACTGAGGACAATGTCTTGGAGCCCCAGTGTTTCTGTCCAGAACGTGGAGGAGATAGGATCAGCTTCATGAAATGATGCAGGCTGAAGATGCACATGAAGTGGTGAGGACCCTGCATGAGCCTAGAACATGTGGTGCTCTGTTCTCTCTGCCTCTCTGCAAGCAGCCACTTTCCATCCTTTAAAAGGTGAGATTAACGAGGCCCCTGATTGGCACTCCTGATGATGGCATGAAGGCTGGATTTCCAATCCAGGTGGAGGCGCTGGGCAGCCACCCCGGGCCTCCATGACCACCTGACTCAGAGGAGACACGATGACTGGGCAGCTCTGTCACTGTGTAGAGCTCTCTCCTCCGTGGTTTTGCTTTCCACAGTTTCTTTTACCTATGACCAACTGTGGTTTGCAGACATTAAATAGAAGTTTCCAGAAGTAAACAATTCATAAGATTTAAATAACTTTCCTCACAGCCTGCTGTTATAATTCTATTTTATTATTAGTTATTGTAGTTCTTCTTTTACTGTGCCTAATATTTAAATTAAACTTTAGCATGGATATGCACAGATAGGAAAAAACCACATATATCAGGTTTGGTACTACCCAGGGTTTCAGGCATCCACAGAGGTCATGCAGATGAAGTGGGGCTGCTCTAACGGGGATCATCCTATAGTCCCAGTTTCTCTAGCAATTAACTTGTTCATGAACACGCTTAGTATTACTGCTAGTTTCCAGGGGGCAAGACTCAGTCACAGGGCGCACCGACAGTCTGTGCAGAAGCCCACCAAGCAGAGAGCCCTGGGACTCGACTCCCCTGGTTTTGACTCTAGCTCACTGCTTGCATTCTTTGAAATATATTCCTGCTTCTCTGTAGCTCAATTAAAAACAAAACAAAACAAAAAGCATTGTTGCTTGAACAGAAAAACACAGTGCTGGTTAGGACAAGTGTTGATTGGCTGCGGCTGGGTCTCCCCCACCCCCCAGGGAGCTTAAAAGCTTGCAGAAATGGTTTTAAAATAGATTGAAAAATAAGATAACAAGAGCATTTCTCAGTAACAATGACAAGAAAACCTCATACACACACAGAGAAGCGAGACAACGTGGCTTCCCCCACTGTTTGCTTTGCAGCTTTCTCAGGAGAGAACCGCAGGAGGTTGTCGGGAGATGGTGCCTCCAGGTAGGGAGTGGGGGGCCAGGAGGGGCGCCTTGTAGAGGACACCATGCTGCGCTGTGAGCCCTCAGGGCCACCTTCCTGGAGCACACAGCAGGCCAGAAGTCTGGGAGGAAGAGATCTAAGGGTGATGGACAGTTAGCTGGTGGGGTGCAGTACCTCTGTGTTCCAACAGAGATGACTTCCCCATCAGGCTGTCTCTCCCGCTCCCTGTGTATCTTTCCAAGACTGCCTTTCAGGCCCTCCTCTTTTGTCTCAAAGAGCTGGGTGTCTCCCCTGTGAGAATCTTCAGGGATGGAGAATGGGGCCTTCCCAGGCACACCGACGGTGCTCTGCCTCGTAGGAGCTGGGCAGCCTGAGCTCCTGTGTGGACTCCACAGATTATTTGGTTTGACACCACAAGTAGGGTTTCTGGCATCAGGGAGACTACCCTAATTGGGCTTGATGAAAGGGTTTAATATGCTGGGAAAGTTTAAAAGCTGTTAAAAGAACAAGCACTAAGGGCATACTTAGGGCAAGAGTGTGATTTTTAGACGCATATGTCTGGGTTGGGACTAGGATGAGGCACACAATGGAAAGAAGATTTGCTCTCAGGGTGTAAGCTCAGGGCTGGCCTTAGAGGGGGACATCGCCTTGCGTTGTGCACCTGGTCAGCAGGCATTTGGTGAACATCTGGGTGAGCAGGCATAGTCCCTTCTGAGTCGCAGGACTACGTGATCTGTGGAGGTCACCTGGCCAGCTAAGGACAATGGGATGAGGAGGTGGGAGTGTGAAGTGACAAACTGGTCTGAACCAGAAAAGCCCGGTTCACTGGGAAAGAGATGGAAGGGTAAAGGGGTTGCAGAGGCTCTTTCCTTGGCACCTGGGGGGGGGGGTGAAGGGTGAAGGGGAGACTGTGATGGGGGGAATGGG